CAGAAGTACTGAGGTGTGAAGAGGGACTACAGTCTGAAGAGGGTTTCTTTTCTCCATCAAACCCTATCCCAGTCATGTCTCCTGTCCTTTTTCCAACCTGAAGGATTTCATCTAAAGTGTCAGTTCCACTGTTCAGCATTCTGACAGACCTGGACATTTAATCAAGTTGAGAATTCAGCAATTTGACTTCTTCATTCAACTCAGAGATAGTTTTAAGATGCTCTTCCTTTTCAGTCTCCAGTTTGATTATAAGTTCTGCTTCTCTCCTTGATGACATACTTCTTCACTTTTGAGACACAACTCTTTGTAAGAAGCTGCAAGTTCTTCAAAGGTATCATCACTAAAGTCTTCATCAAAGTCATATCTCCCAGTCAAATCAGTCACATGTTTAGCAGATTCTTCTTCAAGATCACTTTCATAATCTTCATCAGTCTAAGATACAGCTAGGCTCTTCTTTTATTTCTTGAGGTAAGTAGGGCATTTAGCTCTAATGTGACCAAATCCTTCACATCCATGGCACTGAATCCCTTTGCTTTGAGTGGATTTTTCTTCAGACCTTGTTCTTCTACCAACATCATTAGACTTGCTGATGTCATATGAGGTTTTCTTGACATTAGGTCTTGACTTTAAGTCCATCCTCTTTATTACCTTGTTAAATTGTCTTCCAAGGAGCACTATAACATTGGATAAGCTTTCATCAGTATCCACATCACATTCATCTTCTCCATCTTCAGTATTGGATACAAAGGATATGCTCTTTTTCTTATTAGATCTGTCATTTATTCCCACTTCAAAGGTTAATAGAGATCCAATAAGTTCATCCACCCTCATCTTGCTGATGTCTTGAGCTTCTTCTATGGCAGTTACTTTCATATCAAATCTCTTGGGAAGAGACCTGAGAATTTTTCTTACAAGCTTTTCTTCTGACATCTTTTCACCTACGTCACTTTAAGCATTGGCTATTTCAAGGATATTCATATGAAAATCATGTATGCTTTCATCATCTTTCATCCTTAAGTTTTCAAATTTGGTAGTTAGCAATTGAAGTCTTGACATCTTCACCTTAGAAGTACCTTCATGAGTAATTTTGAGAATCTCCCAAGCATCTTTGGCAACTTCAAAATTGTTCACTAATCTGAATATGTTTCTATCAATTCCATTGAACAAGGCAATCAAGGCTTTAGAATTTTCAAGAGCCAATTCATCCTCCTCCTTAGTCCATTCTTCCTCAGCCTTCAAGTCAGGTGTAGCTTTTCCATCTTTCCCAACAGTGACAGGGTGTTCCCATCCTTTTATGACAACTTTCTAAGCCTTACTATCCAATTATTTCAAGAAGGCCACCATGCGAGGTTTCTAATAATCATAATTATTCCCATCCAGAACAAATGGTCTGTTCACAAATCCTCCTTCTTTGTCCATAGTACCAGAAAGTGTCGTCCCTAAATCTCACCCAGAACCAGAGCAGGATGCCTGCTCTGATACCAACTGAAATTCCGATATCAGATATGAGATGTCGAAGGAGATGTCACGACACTAATATCTGAATGATTACCAATATATGAACAAGATAAAATGCAGTTAACAATTGTAAAGAGACACAAGAAATTGTTAACTCAATTCGATGCAAACACACCTACGACTGGGGGCTACCAAGCCAGGAAGGAAATCCACTAAACAAAATTAGTTTGAAGACACACAACAAATTCTCTCTAGTTTACAATCTTCGCACCTAATATCTATCAGTGTAACTTCTATCTAAGACACTCTCAGATATGAGACACCTCTCACTCCCCTTCAATCACATGTAGTGATAAAAACAAAATATTAAAAGTAGAAGACACACTTCAAAGACAACACATGATCTTACTTAAAAGCTTCAATCAATAAAAATGCACTCGTGCTTAAAAGCTTAGAGTGAATAACTTACAACTCAAAGAACTCAGTACAATTCACACATCAAAGTGATGAGTGAATGGCTCACATATAACAAAAACACAAGAAGGTAAAAACCTATTCTTTACGCAATACACACTCACAACCCTAGCCTCTCTAATCTCCAAATAGGATTGTAAAGTCTTTATATAGAAACACTTTGAATGGGCTTGGGCATTAGCAAAAACAAACTCTGATTTGATAAAATCAAATAAGATAATTCTTCAAATCTTTTCATCAATACAGACATAAAAACAGAACCCAATCAGATTTGATCAAATCAAATCAAATCAAACTTAAAATATTCTTTTGATTTTCTGCATGAAAATAGGACAAAAGATTCCACAATAACTCCACGAATTATACAACATAAACTCTTTTGTTTTAACGAAGATCTCCACGTTGATTTGCACCAGAACAAATTGTTACCAGAGCAACCCAAAAGATTGCACAAAAGTGCAACAGATAAGACATAACATTCTGACAGAATGTTCTGTAAACAAATGTCAAGACATCATGTTTGACATCATGAACTAAACCCTGCAACAACTAGAAAGAACCACATGCAGAAAATTAAGATCACATGTCAAGACATCCTATAGGACATCTTGTGATAACACCAAGTTTTACCAAAATTGATGCCAATCATAGAACTAACAAAAAGGATGCACAAACCTGTCAACAACACAATTGTGACCCTTATTCCCAAGACTACAGAGGCTAAGCATGTGAAGGACTATATACCAATATCTTGTTGCTCTACTTGTAAAAGGTAATATCTAAAATCCTTAGTGCTAGGTTGGGTAGAGTTATATGGAATATTTTACAAGGTAATCAAGCTGCTTTTGTCTCAAGGCACCATCTTAATGATCACATCATGTTTGCTTAGGAGTTAATTAAAGGGTACACTAGGAAAAGCACCACTCCAAAGTGTATGATGCAGGTTGACTTACAAAAAGCCTATGACACCATTGATTGGCAGGCTCTGGTGAAATTTTTGCAGGAAACTGGTATTCCAAACCAGTTTATCAGATGGATAATGCTCACTGTAACTACTGTATCTTATAAATTTATGGTTAATAGAGTCTATACAAGGAGCATGTCTTCCAAGAGAAGACTTAGGCAGGGGGATCCCATATCCTCTATGTAGTTTGTTATTGTGATGAACTACCTGACTAGATCCTTTGACTAATTAAAAAAGAATATGAATTTCAATTATCATTCGAAATGTGAGAAAATTCATCTCATTAGCCTCACTTTGGCAGATGATCTCCTCCTTTTTTCTAGAGGAGAAATTTTTTTTTTGGGAGCTTATGATGGACCAGTTCATGAAATTCTCCAAGTCTACTAGTTTCAAGATGAGTCCTAGGGAGTGCAATATCTATTTTGCTGTTGTGGATGAAAACACCAGGGTTGACATAAAGAATATAGCTGGTTTTAGGGAAGGTAACTTACCTTTTAGATACTTGGGAGTTCCTTTAACTAGTAAAAGGCTCCCTATCTATCACTATGAGGGTCTAATTGATAAGATAGTGGAGAGGATCACACACTGTACCTCAAGACTGCTGAGCTATGGTGGAAGGGTCTAACTCATCCAAAGTGTAACCTTTTCTGCTGTAAACTTTTGGATGCAAAGTATGCCTCTCCCTAAAACTGTTGTTAAAAGAGTTGAAGCAATTTGCAGGAGCTTTTATTTAGACTAGCAGCAATGAGATCAAAAGGAAAACACATATATCTTGGAGTAAGGTTTGTTGCCCTAAGAATCATGAGAGGCTAAACATCATCGACTTAGATGTGTGAAATCAGGCTCATCTTGCTAATATGCTATGAAATTTAAATGGTAGAAAAGAGAATCTTTGGGTCCAATGGATACATGAATACTACTTAAAGAATAATGGTGTAATGACAGGCACAATTAAACAGAGTAATTCTTGAGTGTTCAATAGCATCCTGAACATAAGAGATAAAGTTGAGAATCTGCAGGCCAAGAATACAATGGAACACAGGAGAAGTTTGATATGAAAATGTTGGACCTGGCTTTGAAGGAGTACCATCAAGAGGTGGAGTGGAAAAAGCTCTTTGTAGGTAACTTGACACGGCCTAGAGCTCAACTTTTGCTTTGACTGGCCTGACATAAGCGCCTTGCCACACAGGACAAATTACACAAAATTGGTGTAATTGACAATTCACCTTCTTGTTTCTGTGACCAAACCAAAACCATTCAAAATATTTTCTTTGGTTGCAGTGTTTTGAAGAATATTTGAATTAATGTCTTGAGTTGGCTGAAGATCAAGCATGACCCGGAGGGTCGGAAGTAAGAGTTAAGTGGCTCGTTGTTAAAGAAAAAGACAAGAGTTGGAAAGCAATGCTTATAAAATTGGCTGCCACTGAGACAATGTATGCGATATGTTATATAGGAAATGAGAAGTGTTTCCAAAAAGATGTAAATAACAATAGTATATAATACAATATTATAGATAGTATAATCTATAGAGGTTGGTCCAGCTTGAAACTTAGGAAGCATATAGCTAAAAGGATGATAGATTAGTAGCTTTGCTTCTTGTTCCTTAGTCTTTTTGATTCGTTGGGCTGAATCCTTTTTCAAATAGCCTTTGTATAGTTTTTGTTTTTTTAATTAATCAAAGCTTTTGGTTCAAAAAATATATAAAAATTAAAAGATTAACCCTTAAAATTTTTTTTTAGAAAGAGATCCTAAGGATGTTTTAAAAAAAATCACTTTTTTAGAAAATAAAAATCATTTTAATCTTAAAAATAACATTTTTTTTCAAAAAAAAAAAAATAGAAATAGAAATCCTATGCGGTTATCATGTTATACTATTATGGATAATTTTTATATGGCCAAGAAATATTAGCAAACATCCTTGAATTTCGTTTTCTTTGAACATTTGTGTTCTATATTTATTTTGAGGTAGCTATAATTTCGTAAATGACTAATTATACAGTAAAAAAAATAGTACTTAAACACATGCAATCTCCTAAGCAAAATTAAGTTGTGAATAATTTATTTTTCACCAACTTCTAATTATTTACAACGTAACTATATCACAATGACAAAGACAATGTTGGTTATGTTCTTCAGTAGCCTTTTGATTTGCTCACTGTTTACACAAAATGTTGATGCCGGAATGATCGGAAATGGTGCAATGGGAAGAAACCCCATCACATGTAACAAAAACAATCCCAAGTGTATCCCCGCTCCGGCCAACCCATATAATAGAGGATGTGGGTCAATAGAGAAGTGTCGCAACAATGGAGGTTCCAGCCCACCCGTGCACAAGGGGGTGTGAAGCAAATGATAAGGGTTGCAGTAATAGAGGAGAATAAATTAAAACATAAACAACAACAATAATATGTAACTCGTTACAAAAAAATTATAATATTTGTCATATTATATATATATATATATATATATATATATATATATATATATATATATATATATATATATATATATATATATATATATATATATATATATATATATATATATATATATATATATATATATATATATATATATAATTTTTAACTTTGATCTATTTGATAGGAGACGATTTATTTTCTTAACTTATAATTAATATATCTAAATAAGATATATTGATTACTCAGTTGAAAAATAAATTGTCTTTTAGAAAAAAGATCGGGTAATAGTTACTTCATAATTAATGTATCATTGACTTATATATAAAATCATTAATGATATGTTAAATATTTAGCAATTTTGTTTCTTATTTATTTATTTGATTAAATTTTTTTTAATTAAAAGAAATAAAAAAATAAGAGCAGTCAATATAAACTTGAAACTAGGCAAGCGAACCCGTGTGAATTATTAAGTGTTAGTAAATATAAAAAAAATATAACTAATTGACTAAAAAATTTAAAATAAATTTTAATTTATAAAATTAAATAACAAAAATAGTAAAAGAAATGTTTTTTTTAATGAAATATTGCTATAGTACACATTAATTTAACCTAAATGATTACTTACAAGACGATTAATTTTTTACAAATTTAAAGTAGATTTAATTATTTGGATAAAATATATGTTTAAGTAGTTGTTAAAAGTATGTGTTCTATTGTATATTTGTCTTATTTCTTACATATATATATATATATATATATATATATATATATATATATATATATATATATATATATATATATATATATATATATATATATATATATATATATATATATATATATATATATATATATATATATATATATATATATATATATATATATATATATATATGTGTGTGTGTGTGTGTTTTTTTTTTTTTTTTTTTTTTGCATTTTGTTATCATATTTATTAATTAAAAAGTTTGTATCCCGTGTTTTTTATATTAATCAATGATAACTATTTGTTTGGTGTTTTTATATTGTGAAAAATATGTCCTGTGTTTTTTTTATATATATTAATCAATATCAATTTTTTTTAAATAAAAAAAAGTAATGTCTTTTTAAACTTATAAAATGAGTCAATGTCTCGTGACCAATGTTATGAAAAATTATGATTTTTTATTACAAATATTGACATTGTATATTGTAAATAATTCTTAAATTATTCATTGTTTTTTATTAAAATAATGTGAAAAAAAAATTATAGTTAGTGTAATACAATTATTATAAATTTTAAATTAACGTTATTATACAACCAAAATTTTAACTAGTTATTTTGTGCATACACTTTTTGGTAGAATATATTTATCATAAATTATAATTAATTTATTATAAGTATTTTCATTTTTAGGATGAGGATATTAAAAATGATTATATCTTTTGTTTGTAAAAAAGCTAAATTTAAATATAAATATTATTCAGTTTATTAGTTTATTAATTATATGTTCAAAAGTTTTTTAACTAACTCACATTTTGAAAGACAAAGTGACGAAATTGAAGTTAAAAAAGAATCTCATATATAAAAGTTGCTAAGTTGTTTAACAATCTTTTAGCACCAAAACTTAGGGTAGTTTTTTTATTTTATTTTATTCATTTTTCATTATTTTATTTAATTATTTTATTTTATATAAATACTTATAATTTTTCTTTCAATTATTCGTTAAAAATTAAAATTAAGAAGAAAAAAAATGCAAAAGGAGAACTTATATAAGGGTTTGAAAATGGAAGTTACTTTTATGGCTACTTTAAATAGAAGTAGTGAAAGTTATTAAATAATAATATTATTATTACTATTATTATCATTAATTTTATTTTTATTATGAACTAATTAATATGTGAAATAATGGCATGAGAAACGAGGTAGTCGATTAAATGGGCTAATAAATTTATATATATTTTTCGTGAACTGTCTCATTTTTTTTGGATAAGCAATAATATATTAAAGAGATAAAGATAATTTTTGAACAACAAGAATACAAACAGGACAAACAACGAAACAGTTACATAAAATCGAACGGAAATTTGAACCAATCGTACAAATTACAATTCTTATTATCCTGTCTACCTAAAATCAACCAATTCCACGAGAAGACTTTAATATCGAAAACAATGTCCTCAATGTCAATGGAAGCATTATTGAAGATAATGTTATTTCTAGCCCTCCATAAACTCCAACAAGAGATGAACCAAATAGAGTTGATCTTGTACTCTTTGCAGTGACCCGGAAGTCTCGATTTCCAGACCTTCGCATGAAGACTACAACAATCCTCCGAAATGTACTCTATATCCACCCACTCGCAAATCCTATTCCACACCAATGAAGATTTAGAGCACGAGAAGAAAAGATGAGAGACATCCTCAATACTAGACGAACAGAACGCACAATCTGAGTTTTGGGAATAATCAATCACCCTTATTTTCATCAAATTGGATATGGTAGGCAACATATCAAGCGCCAACCTCCAAATAAAAATTTGGACTTTTGCCGGTAACACCGTTTTCCAAAGAATCTCCAGAAGAGCAGCACAGTCATTTCCAACAGTATGAGCAGAAGCAGATGAGGAAGAAGGTAAAGCAGCATAGAAAGATCTAACCTTATACGAAAGAGAATCATGAAGTAACCATTTCCAATTGTCGCCGACACTGCTGATGGCTGCCATCTGATCCAACAGACCACTACAGTCTGCCCAATCTGATACAAAATTGATACCGTCATCAATCAGTGATTCTCTAACTTTCCAAACCCAATGACCATCCTCCCAAGAACCCATCTCGTTAACTGACGAAATTTTCCTGGAACAGCCGCAGAAACCTACTTTTAAGTGGGAGATCTCCAATCCAATTTGATTGCCAAAACGTTGTGTTGTGACCTTCTCCAATTGAACAAGCCGTAAAGTTGCAAAAGTCCACATTGATGTCGTAGGTTGAACTTGACATAATATCCTTCCTCCAAAGAGAATCTATATTCAAGTTACCGACGTCGGCGAAAGTTTGCACCTTCATGCTCAAGTTACCGTATCTGAGATTCAAAGATTTTCTCCAAATTTCATTTCCGCCACTTAGAAATCACCACTTCCATTTTCTTATAAGAGCGCAATTAAACCGGCCTATGTGTTTAATGCCTAATCCTCCACATTCCTTCGGCTTACAGATGGAATTCCATCAACACTTCAAGGAAGAAGGATTCCAAAAACAATCCAAGGAACATTTGAAAAACAATCAACGTAGAAACTCATATAAAGAAAAACACAAGTACATCAAACAACTTTCTACATCAAACACATAAGTTTTATTTGTTCTTCATTTTGTGTAAAAATCACAGTTGTGATAATAGCTTTTTAGAAGCACTTAAACACATTATATTTCATCTTTGTAAAAATTCCTTGAGAGACCAAGTTGTGGTCAGGATTCTTGAGAAGACTAAGACAGTTTGTCTTAGTGATATCACTGTAATCAGGTTTTGATTTAGTGGATTAAGTCCTCGTTTGAGAGAGGCGAAATCACCTTGGCCGGGTGGACTGGAGTAGTTTGAGTTCAAACGAACCAGGATAAAAATAACTTGTTATTTTCTATTGTCATAATTGTTTTTGAAAACCCTTTATTCAACCCCCTCTTCTAAGTGTTTTCCTACCTTCATTTGGTATCAGAGCTCCGGCTCTGTAGTGTTATCACTTAACCGTGACAGAGAAAAGATCCAGTTGGAAAACTCTTTGATCTATTATCCTTGATTTATTATGGCTGAAACTTCAACTTCAAACAACAAATATGATGGTAAAGATAGAATCAGCACAAAGCCTCCCATGTTTGATGGAGAGAAATTTGATTATTGGAAGGATAGAATAGAAAGTTTCTTTCTAGGCTATGATGCTGATCTATGGGATTTGATCATTGATGGATACATTCACCCCACTAATGGTGAGGGAAAAAAGATTGACAGAAAGTCAATGACTGGCCAATAGAAGAGAGATTTCAGAAATCATCACAAAGCTAGAACTATTCTATTAAACGCTATATCTCATACTGAGTATGAGAAAATCACAAATAGAGAAACAACATTTGACATGTTTGAGTCATTAAAGATGACACATGAAGGAAACTCTCAGGTGAAGGAGACAAAGGCTCTTGTGCTTATTTAGAAGTATGAAGCCTTCAAGATGGAGGAAGAAGAATATGTGGAAACCATGTTTTCAAGATTCCATATTCTGACAGCTGGTTTGAAGGTCCTTGATAAAGGATACTCCACTTCTGATCATATGAAGAAGATCATCAGAAGTCTACCAAAGAAGTGGAGACCCATGGTCACAGCGCTGAAGCTATCAAAGGATCTTAACAAGATCACTCTGGAGGAACTCGTCAGTTCCTTAAGAAGTCATGAGATAGAGCTGGAAGAAGATGAGCCTCAGAAGAAAGGTAAGTCTATTGCTTTGAAATCAAATAAAAAATCTGACAATAAATCATTTCAGGTACTTGAGGAAAGTTCTGGAGAATCTTCCTCAGATGAAGATGAACTGTCTTTACTTTCCAAAAGGATAAATCAACTTTGGAAACATAAACAAAAGAAGTTCAGAAACTTCAAAAGACCAGAACAACTTGGGGAATATTCTGGACACAAAAGATCTGGAAAGAAAGAAGTTGTTTGCTATGAGTGCAAGGATCCAAGACACTACAAAAATGAATGTCCCAAACTTCAGAAGGAGAAACCCAGAAAGAAGTTTGAGAAAAAGAAGAAAGTCCTGATGGCCACATAGGATGACTCAGATGATTCTGAAGTCTCATCAGAGTCAGAGGACGAATGTGCAAATATGGCACTAATGGCTGACTTGGAGAAGCACGAGGAAACATCTGAATCTGGATCAGAATCAGATTCAGAAGAGGTATTTTCTAATCTTACCAGAGTTGAGCTAATTGAAAGCTTATCTGAGATGTTTGAAAACTATAGTAAGATTAGACTCAAATACAAGAAGCTTCAGAGCTATCTTGCATCTGAGACTGATCAGATGAAATCAGAAATTGCTGAGCTAAAAGCAAATAATTTTCAAATAAAAACTGATTTAGAAAAAGCTCAACAAAAGTCTGATTCAAATACTATGTCTTGCTCCAAAAATATTTTAGAAGAGTACGACTATAGTTTTCAGAGGTTCCTATCCAGAGGCCTAGACAGAAGCAAAATGGCTTCCATGATCTATGGTGTTAGCAGGAACATCAGAAAAGGAGTTGGATATGAATCACCCTCTAGGAAGGAATCAAATCCAAAACCTGTTGATAAGCTAATCATCAATTATACTCCTTTGTACACTCATTTTAAATATGGTCACCTAAATAACATAAATCACACACGTACAGATCAGATCAGAAAAAGCTTTATTAAACCAAAACCTCGTCATAACACAAAAGTTTTTAAGGAACATAAGTTCAGGCAGAACTTCAAACCAACTAACCCCAGAGGACCCAAAAAGATATGTGTACCTAAGGATAAAATAATCTATGTTGCAGATGTCCATAGCAGTAAAGTTAAGACACCAGTCATGGTACCTGGACTCTGGCTGCTCACGACATATGACGGGAAGAAGGTCTATGTTCCAAAGCCTGGAACTTAGATCTGGAGGAGACGTGAAGTTTGGAGGAAACCAAAAGGGCAAAATCATTGGCTCTGGAACAATTGGTAATGGTAACCTCCCTTCTATCTCTAATGTTTTTCTTGTTGAAGGATTAACACATAATCTATTGTCTATAAGTCAATTAAGTGACAATGGTTATGATATAATCTTTAATCAAAAATGTTGTAAAGCTATTAGTTAGAAAGATGGTTCAATCCTCTTTAATGGGAAAAGTAATAACAACATTTATAAGATAAATCTTTCAGAACTGAAAAATCAAAATGTTAAATGCCTTATGTCTGTTAATGATGAGCAATGGGTCTGGCATAGAAGATTGGGTCATGTTAGCATGAGATGTATATCTCAGATTAACAAGCTCAATCTGGTCAGAGGACTTCCTAAGTTGAAGTTTAACTCAGATGCTCTTTGTGAAGCATGTCAAAAAGGAAAATTTTCAAAATCTTCTTTCAAATCTAAAAATGTTGTTTCTACCTTTAGACCATTAGAGCTACTTCATATTGATTTGTTTGGACCAGTGAAAACTGCATCCATCAGAGGCAAGAAGTATGGATTAGTCATAGTTGATGACTACAGCAGATGGACATGGGTAAAATTCCTAAAACACAAGGATGAGTCACACTCTGTATTCTTTGACTTCTGCAATCAAATTCAAAATGAAAAGAATTTTAATATTGTCAAGGTCAGAAGTGATCATGGTGGTGAATTTGAAAATAAATATTTTGAAAAATATTTTAAAGAAAAAGGCACTGCACATGATTTCTCTTGTCTTAGAACTCCTCAACAAAATGGAGTTGTAGAACAAAAGAATAGAACATTGCAAGAAATGGCCAGAACCATGATCAATGAGACTAATATGGCTAAACACTTTTGGGCAAAAGCAATAAATACAACATGTTATATTCAGAACAGGGTGTCTGTAAGACCTCTTCTGGAGAAAAATCCTTATGAATTGTGGAGGAATAGAAAGCCTAATATTTCTTATTTCCATCCTTTTGGATGTATTTGTTTTATTTTGAATACTAAAGATAATCTGAACAAGTTTGACTCTAAAACACATAAGTGTTTTATGATTGGATATTCTGAACGCTCAAAAGGCTACAGAGTATACAATACTGAGACACAGATTATGGAAGAATCAATTCATGTTAGATTTGGTGATAAGCTTGGCAATTAAAAAGCCAAAGCAGTTTGAAATTTCTGCAGATAGAGAAGTTCTTCTCGCAGACTCTGAAGAACCAGAAGCAAACACAGTTCCAGCTAAAGAACAAGAAGCAAAGCCAGATGCTACTCCATTGGCTGCTCATTTGCAAAGCTTAACCATTTCTGAAGAACCCACTCTGAAAGGATCCTCCAGAATCAAAGCTTCTCACCCAGAGGAAATGATTATTGGAAAGAAGGATGACTCCATCAGAACAAGATCCTTTCTCAAATCATCTGGAACATCATTATTTGGTTTAATGTCAATTATTGAACCTACCTCTATGGATGAAGCTCTGCAAGACAATGATTGGATACTTTCTATGCAAGAGGAGTTAAATCAATTCACAAGAAATGATGTTTGGGATCTGGTTCCAAGACCAAAAGGATTTAATATTATTGGAACGAAATGGGTTTACAGAAACAAGCTAAATGAGCAAGGAGAAGTCATCAGAAACAAAGCTAGACTGGTTGCTCAAGGCTATAGTCAGCAAGAAGGTATTGATTACATATAGACATATGCTCCTGTGGTAAGGTTAGAATCTATACGTTTGCTTATTTCTTTTGCTGCACATAATAACATCACTCTGTATCAGATGGATGTTAAAAGCGCTTTCTTAAATGGCTTAATTGAAGAAGAAGTTTACGTTCATCAACCTCCTGGATTTGAAAATGAAAATTTTCCAAAACATGTTTTTAAATTAAAGAAATCACTCTATAGCTTAAAACAAGCTCCCAGAGCTAAGTATGAGAGGCTGAGTAATTTTCTTCTGGAAAATAATTTTATCAGAGGAAAGGTTGATACAACTCTCTTTCATAAATTAATTAAGAAAAACATTTTAATCTGTCAGATTTATGTAGATGATATTATTTTTGGAACAACAAATATTACACTTGGAAAGGAGTTTGCTGAATCTATGCCGGCAGAATTTGAAATGAGCATGATGGGAGAACTCAGATTCTTTATGGGAATTCAAGTCAATCAAACTCCAAAAGGCACCTACATACATCAGACAAAGTATGTGAAGGAGCTCCTGAAGAAGTTCAACATGACAGAGAGTAAATCAGCTAAGACTCCATTGCATCCAACTAGCATT